TTGATGCCTTTGAACTGTAGTGTTGGAGAAGAGTAACAAATATCCCACTGACTGTCAAAAAGCCAAACATATGTCTTGGAGAAAGTGCAGCCAGAGTGCTTGTTGGAGGCAAAGATGATAAAGCTTCTGACATACTTTGGGACTATTGCTAGGAGGGCTAGTCATCAGAGAGGGGCATCACACGTGGGAAGTGGAGGGATGGTAAAAGAAAGGAAGACGTTCCACCAGATGGGTTGACAAAGTGACTCCAGCAATGGGCTCAAGTGTGTCAGGGATTGTGAGGATGGCACAGGATAGGACAGGGTTCAGATCTGTTGTTCATAGGGTTGCTATGAGTTGTATTCAACTTGAAAGCACCTAACAACATTGACGGGGTGGTTATGAGTTGGAATCCATAGCAGTGAGTGATAAAGAGGACACTGAAAATTCTACCATTTTTGGAGCCTAAACACAATGTTTGTCTTAAGAGTGTAAACGTTCTTGTTCTCAGGGTTTCTAATAGTTGGCATTATTTTTAAAGAAAATATTTGTAGTTAATTTTGTTTATCAGTTGCCATTGAGTTGATTCTGACTCAAACCCATTTGCCAGAGGCTTATAGTGTTTTCAGTGGATGCTTTTTTGAAAGTAGCTCACCAGACCAGGTGTATTTTCTGAATTACAGATGGGCATATCTTTATATTCAACCTTTACATTAGTAGCCATGCAGATAAACTGTTTGTACCGCCCAGGAACTCCTTGTTCACATTCTCATTATATTATTAATTTACTAGTGTGCTCAAGTCAAAACTATTAAACACACATGATGAAACTGTTTTAAAATGTATAATAATAGTGCTTAAAAGCTATAGAAATTATACTAACCGTATACAAAAAATACTTCTGCAAGAGTAGTCCAAACTTATTTCTGTCAGAAAGAGACAATAAAATTTGTAGTGTTAAAATAATCAAAAGTAAAAAAGAAATAGAAGCATAAAGTTTATTCTGAGAAGCTATTCTGGCATAGAGAGATTCTCATATTAAACCAAAACAAGTAAGTATTTACAGTTGGGAGAGGAAGGAGAAATTCGATCAACTGCTGGTGAATCTTAGTCTCATTGAAACTTGCTCCCTGGATCAACTGCTCTATGATTTTTAGGTGTGTCTGGTCTGGCAGCTAAAAAATTTTACCTACCTTTCTGCAAATATGAGATCTTTTGAAATATAAGTAAACTTAGAACTTTTACATTAAATCACCAGGCATTGATTTTTTTCTTTGTTGTAGAGTAACTTTGGTGGGAGGAAGGATATCAGTGCTTTGCCGTTTGGTTCAGGGTCCTGGTTTTGTGGGTAAGAACAAGCCTTAGATGTTAATAATTCATCTCACTGATAATAGTGAAACATTGATAAAAGTGAAGCACATTTTTCTCTGCCTCCCTCTGTCTTTTAGTTGCTTCTGGTTATTTTATTACTAATGGCTTACTGTTGGTGTAATTGTGTGGCGTGCGGAGGAAGAAAAGGATGTGGTTTCTACCTGCTAATACATTGACTTTTCAAATGTCATTTGTAGAACTATTAGCATCATTGCCCTTAGTTGGTTTCTAGTTACCTAACGAGAGTATTTAAAATGGTAAAAAGTGTTGCGTAAGCATAAGAGCAGTGAAACTAGCCAGAAGGTGAATTGATGATAAAACTAAATTTCTTTATCATAATTGAGATCTGAGAATGTTTTGATTCATCAGTTTTTCTCAAAGTAGTTGTTGTTGTTATGTGCCATCGACCCTGAAATAAATACCTACTTTATGTCATTTCAGTTTATATTTTAATTCAGATCAATAAAATGAACATGTCTTTGGGTTGCTATAGTGATTTTATATTTATTTTAAAAGCAAACTTGAGTGTTTTTCAAAGTGGAAGCCTCAAGTTTTGCAGCTTTTCCACCAAAGCCTTACTTGAGGTCAGATCATGTCCAAGTTTTAAAATCACAGAGCAGGCTCCCCCTTTATTCACTATGAATTGTCCACAGGACAAAAATAAACCAAAGGTAGTATTGTTGCTCTTCAGATTTTTTTAAGCGTAGTGTTGAGGACTATTATGGGCTTTATGACTTTAAAGAGCTAAAAAGTTTTTAAAGTTTATAGCTTGTGTGATCTAATATGATTGGGAACATCAGTTGAGTACCCTTCTATCATAAGCTCAAGAGGTTTTTTTTCTTACCTTTGTGTTTATCAATGTAATTATGGAAATAAAATCTTACCCCAAGGAAACCCTAAAAAAAAAAAAAGAAAAATATTCTAAGTCTGTTATGTAGATATACAGATTTAACTATAGTCACGTAAAAATATAGACTTACGGCCAGCTGGTTCAAAATAGAAGTGATTAACTGTAAAGCAGGAAAAAAATAGGTGATTAGTGTTGTCAGTCAGTTTACTTTGTCTTTTTTTTTTAACATCAGATTTCAGATCAATGTAATGTGCCGATGTCATTAGAAGGTTTAAAGGGTCGCACATTTCATACAAGGATCTGGTTTAGTTTGTCTTGATGTATTTTTTACTCATATACTACATGTGTAGATATCTTGTGTATGAAACTTTTTACTGAAAAATTTAGTTTTACTTTTCTGCTTAATATTTGATTTACATTTTATATATATATATATTTTAAAATGACTCTATGATTAAATTTCTTCAATTAAAAATATTTTCTTATAATGGCCTCATAATTTTTTGTCTTATTTTATTTCCAAATTATTTAGACTGTGAGAACAGTAATTTCTGTGATGACCTGTCTCATCCTATTTGCCATGTTGGACAAACATATATTTTTTTAAATTAAATTTTATTAATTTTAATGAACATTTACAGAGATTTCAGGTTTCCATTCATTCATTGTTGCACTATTTTCTCTACCCTCACCCCCGACAAGCATATTTTTATGAAGTGTATGTAATAACAAAGCACTTATATTTACCGCTATAAGATCATTG